CCCCAAAACCCCAAAACCCCAAAACCCCAAAACCCCATAGCATCGATATATAATTGAAACTAAAGTTTATAAATGGAGACGAATTCCCCACCGACGGGATCTTTCACACAAGACTCTATTAATCTTGATAATTACGACATGAGAAATGAGAGCTTTACAGATTCTGTAAAATTTATAACAACAGTCAACTACGGTAAGTATCCAACATGGTTCCTCAGAACGGTCTTCAGAATTTTATTAACAAATTTAGCAACAGGAGATAACCTCCATACTGAATGTGTAGCTGAAGGATCAGAATCAAACAGTAGTAATCGACTCAGCTGTGAGAAAATATCTGTAAGCAAACTGTAAAAAGTCTGAAGAAGTTAGTAATCCATTCTGATCGATTAAGCCTATATTTTTACTTTTATATATAACCTGTCTATCTTGATATATTGAATAAATTCCTTGTAAGTTGACTCAATCTCCAGGGAGACACTAAAGAATAGTTTCGGTCATAATTTTCTTGTATGAACATTCCATGAAATTCTATGTTAAAAATCAGCAGATTTTTCAGCATAAAAGCACTTTATCCTCTAACATATTATCTGATATCTCTCTTCAACATCAAACATGATGCCTAGTGTACTAAATGACCTAATCAGTCTGTATAGATACAGAACCTCGAGCCAAGCAAGTTCAAGAAGATATAAGGAAGCCTAAATAAATAAGAAGCAATCTGAGATGAACTCAGGTTTGCTTAGCATTCCCAAGTCAAGGGTTAGAAAATTGTCCAAAATTAGTAATAAATAACACTGCTCGAAAATAACGATGAATTCCGTAAGCATAAATCCTTCTTGACAACGAAGAGGCCTTCCTTCATGAAGGGCAATCGGACGACCACCATGGCCCAAGCACCTAAGTATTTATGTAGTATAATCCTTTAGGAAGAAGAAGTTTGTATTAGCTCAAAATAAGAATGGGTCTCTCTTCTCAGAAAGTCTTGTGTCAAAAAGACCTTCCTTTAGTTGTAATTTATACTAATAATCTTCAGCCGAGGATAAGGATTACAAGCATAATAAAATGCTCAGAACTTCTCATTCAAAGTTAAAGGCAAAAGTTGCTGAATTAAAACGAAAACAAGATCACATGTAAACCTTATTCTAAACTCTAGGGGTATCAATAACCAAAGTTATCAAAACAGAAAGGATTATAAGCTAAGAAAGAACAGTTTTGGCATGATTGACCTAGCCAGCTTTAACCAGGTAAGATTCAGCCATTATCTTGTAGCAAAAAGAAGCCTTCTCACTGTATAAAGGTACCGTAAAATCAGTGTCTCCATCTCTGGAGAAATACGATAAGACCTCAATTAGTAATGGAATCTCAGATATGACCAAGCAATACCAACCTGATTTTATTGGGTACAAAGAGAACATCGAGTACGAGAGCCGGAAATCAGGATGGGCCTTCCTACTTGATGTCATAGCTAAAGTACCAAAGAGCCAACGGATGTCCAATGTTGTTAGGTATTCTTCTAGAATTATCATAGAATGCTAAATGAGAACAAAGAAATCAGCAGAGAGACTCTCCTCAAGATGATCCAGTCTGGAAAGATCGACCTGAACGACCTCTCTGAGATCAGGGAGAAGTCTAAGAATGGCGAGAACCATCTCTCTAAGGTCTTAAAATAAGTATGCAGTAGGTGAGACATCCAGCTCTGAAAGAAATAAGAGTTTCAACAATGGTACCAACCTCATTACCACTCTTAGGTGACAAATCAGGCCGACAACAAAGGATCGAGATGTTGAAGCATGACTTGGAGAAAATTGAAGAGAACTTCAACGATAATATGAAAGATATCGACAATCTCAAGAAGAAAGTCTTAGAGTAAGCCTTCCTTCCTAATGTGTAGTATTAATCAGCAACCCAAGTCAAAGGCTTCACAGAAGAAGAAAAAGTCTCCTATTTATAGCAGTAAAAAGTTGCTCAAAAAGTCAACTATGAGGGAGATTAACCTTACCAAGATCGAGCTTGATAGCCGAAATAATGATCTCATCGAAGAGGTCAATGATGAAGAAAGCTGAGGAGTATCTTTAGTTATCAATTAATTCCATAGTCTTCATTATACAGTCAAGCGGAGAAGGAAATTATTAAAAATAAGAAGCATAAGACCAAGACCAGCAAAAAGAGATACACTTCAAAGTCTAGAATGGGTCCTAACACGATTAAGGTGACTTCGCCTGAGTTCAGAACCTTTGTTCAGCCTCCTTCCCACTTGAGGTACTCTTTAAATGATCAATAATAGCACCAAAAGTATATTCTTACTTAGTCCTGAGGAATGAATGTCGAAATTAACATTAGGATTTGCAGTGAAGAAGGGCAAGCTTGAAATGGAGTTCTCCAAAGCTCTCTCCAAATATTACCCAGATTATTCAAAATCAAACGCTAATCAAAAGTAACTCTTTTCTCATTGTTTAGAGACCTATTCTCCGAGATTGAGTAAGGATTTCCTCGTATCAGAGTCTAAATTATTAGAGCTTTAGCAACAAGAAATATACCAGGAATCGGCCTTTCAATCTCAAAATGGAATGTAATAATCCACTGAGAGGATATACTCAGAGAATATAATGTATGCTCAAGCAAGTCTCAACTTTTTAATAGATTACCAAGGCCAAACTGAAGGATGAATATGTCCGCAAAATGAAAGCTAAAGGTACTGGGTTCGCTATAAACATATAGAGGGGATAACCGAGTACCACCGGCCCAGTAAGCTCAGGACTATCGAGAAGGATGCTCTTAAGTACTTTTCTGAATTACTCTAGATACATCAACAATGATAAGTTAGGAGATCAGCTGCATTCAATTATAAAGCATCTTGTGAAGAAGCTCAAGAAATTCGGCAATGAATTTGCCCAACAAATCAACCTTCTTGAACGAATGAGGCCAAAGAACAACAAGGACGATGATCAATTAATCCAATAAAAATACTCAACATACATAGTTTTAGGAGTGGTAAATCCATTGAGAAGAATTTGACCTCCATGCGGAATATGTCAATAGCTAAAACGTCCAGGAAGTAGGTATTTTATGACGAAATATAGCCCCTTTTCCATGAAGAATTTGAAGAGATTGCAGACTCAACAACTAAATGCTCTCTCGTTTGGAGTTCATAACAATATTGACCACTCCATGGGATCTTCTTCCAAGATGAGCTTCAATAGATCCAATAGCGTAGGTGAGTACAATCTGTACTATAATGTTAGTCTAGGCAGGATCCAGCTGACATCAGAAAAAGCTAGAATTCTTGACCAAGAAAGCAACACTGGCACACTAAATTCTAAGAAAGGAAAGCTTGAAAAGAGGAAAACTTTGACTGCTAATAACTTAGAAGCTTTGAATATCCCTAGAAGTGTATCTCCAGGTGTTTTATCATATAGAGTAGTTTTATGTCAAAGGAAGTCAAGATGGAGAAAATCAAGCACTCTCGTATTTATTGTCATAACCTGTCTAGCCCTTGCTCGTCTTGATATAAGCCCTGCTCCTTCTACGATCTTCGAGAATGTTCATAAGAACAAATCCAGAAAGATAAAGAGAAGTAATATTATCAAGAAAAAGCATCCGATTAAGATAAATCCTGGCTCTTTTCAGAAGCACAAATTATTTTCCAAAAATAGGAATCTGGGAGAAGTAGCTCAAGGCAAACTCTCTCAGCTTAAGAATAGATTTACAAAAGCTCAGTAAGCCTCTTACATAAATTCTTAGATCCAAGATTGTTCAAAGGAGAAGGAATAAGTCCACAATGAGAAATTATGGGACTCTGGAAGGAATCGGAGGGAATAAAACAAGACGTTTCAAGTCACCCGATGTCTCTAGGAACAACTTGCATGCCTTTAGCCGGAATACTACTAGTAGAAATACGCCTAGTGTTTCGCCAGGTATTCCTGAAAGCTCCTTCTTGTCTCAAAAGAATAATGGCAGGTACCTTGTGGCCTCTCCAGATCCTTCTAGATTCTTCAGATCTCCCATGCCTCATGTAAAAACAAAGAAGGAGGAAGAGAAGCTGCCTAATATTAAAAGACTTTTACTTTAATTATTTCATGCCTCATTCATTTGCGATAGAGAAAGGTCATTAGTAATCCCTATAGGCGTGGCCTATAAGAAGGTTTAATATCGTGTCTTAGGCATTTGGAGGTCTTAAGATCGTAGAATAGAGGATAAGTATTTCAGTCCAGAAGTTACCTTAACCACTTCTTTTAAAGTAATATTTATCTTGAATGTTAGTGAAAGCTAAACCTTTGGGGTTTTGGGGTTTTGGGGTTTTGGGGTTTTGGGGTTTTGGGGTTTTGGGG